TCTGGCGGGTGCCAGGGCCGCGGCTGCAGGAGGAGGAGGATTTGGGCTCTTGAGCGTTTCTTATCTCTTGAGACCTCGGGGGACCCGCCCGGGAGAGGCGACGGAGGCGGAGGGGGTTTCTGATTTCGGAGGTGTTCGGTTTGGGGGAGGAGGGAGCCTTTCTCTGCCCGCTCCGCACCGACAGCGCCCTGCGAGTCGCAGCCGCACTGCGCGCACGTGGTTGCTCGGCGCGTGCGCGGCAGCCGTGCCGCGTGGAACTGTTTTCTGGAGACTGCCGTAAGCGGACACGGTCCCTGCCCACCTGCAATCCCAGACCCCTTCAGCCTTGCATAGGCTTGTACTATGCTGGATGGAGGTGAGGGTGCTACTCCTAGAAGGTTCAATGAGTCATCGGCCCCAGTAGTTGCCGGCTGGACTTAGCCGAGTGAGTTCACACGGCTCAATCTGGTGCAATTCGGCCCAATCCAGCGCAGTGGCTCTTCGATACAGCTCAGAGGCTCCCAATCGTGGCCACGGAGGCCTCCCAGGACTTGTCACCCAACGCAGCTCGCACGGGCCGGTGCGAGGTTCCGGTCCCAGGGCTCCCCAGAGATTTCCGCATGCAAATGCAGCACTTGGAGGCCTCCAGAGGCCCTTGGGGTTAAGTAGGGCCTGTCCCTCTACAGGGGGATATTCAAAAATAGTTGGAAAATAGTCTGGAAACGATTTCTTGACTATTTTCTGCATTGTTGGAGTATGTTTTTAGAATTTTCCCGGAAAGGGCGCGGGCCCAGGGTTCTCTTTTAGTAGGTAAACCTGTCCCCCGGTGCCAACTTGAGGGAGGCCGGCGAATTTTTTCCCTGATAAATAACGAGGTCGAAGGAGGCCGGCGAATTAAAATTTGAGGATGTCTCGAGCGAAACGCTTGTTTTTGAAATCCCGATCGATAAATCACAGGGTGCGGGCCACTTTTTCGTGTGTTGAGGATGTCTCGAGCGAAACGCTTGCTCCGCAGAGTTTGCCGAGGATGTCTCGAGCGAAACGCTTGTTTTGCAGAGCCGACCGCGACGCGGAAAAGCGCCCCGCGCGAAGGAATTTCGATGATGTTTCGACTAATTCCTTTGTTTTTGTACGATTTCCTGGAATTTTGGCAGGATGTCTCGAGCGAAATGCACGACCCCACCCTAGCACGACCATACCCCAGCACGACCACACCCCAGCACGACCAGACCCCAGCACGACCCCACCCCAGCACGACCCCACCCCAGCACGACCATACCCCAGCACGACCACACCCCAGCACGACCCGACCCCAGCACGACCCTACCCCAGCAAGACCACACCCCAGCACGACCACACCCCAGCACGACCTCACCACAGCACGACCACACCCCAGCACGACCACGCCCCAGCACGACCACGCCCCAGCACGACCACGCCCCAGCACGACCACCCCCCAGCACGACCACCCCCCAGCACGACCACCCCCCAGCACGACCACCCCCCAGCACGACCACCCCCCAGCACGACCACACCCCAGCACGACCACTCCCCAGCACGACCACACCCCAGCACGACCACACCCCAGCACGACCACACCCAGTCGCACCCCCGTGGAATGTTTCGTGGCGTGTCTGGTTGAGTGGTTGCCTGTTCGTGGGGTGTCTCGTGGAATGTTTCACGGGGTGTCTCGTGGAATGTTTCGTGAGGTGTCTCGTGGAATGTTTCGTGAGGTGTCTCGTGGGATGTTTCGCGGGGTGGCACGACCACGCCCCAGCACGACCACCCCCCAGCACGACCACCCCCCCAGCACGACCACCCCCCAGCACGACCACCCCCCAGCACGACCACACCCCAGCACGACCACTCCCCAGCACGACCACACCCCAGCACGACCACACCCCAGCACGACCACACCCAGTCGCACCCCCGTGGAATGTTTCGTGGCGTGTCTGGTTGAGTGGTTGCCTGTTCGTGGGGTGTCTCGTGGAATGTTTCAAAGGGTGTCTCGTGGAATGTTTCGTGAGGTGTCTCGTGGAATGTTTCGTGAGGTGTCTCGTGGGATGTTTCGCGGGGTGTCTCGTGGGATGTTTCGTGAGATGTCGCCCAGTTGGGTATCGTGAAAACGTGACCATGCTGCACATGTCTTTATCCCTTTCCGGGTTCGTGGGTCCATCATGTTTAATTTGTCGCCCAGAATCCCCTTGTAGGGGGACAGGCCCGACCTAACCCTGGGGGTTGGCCATGCGCAGAGGGGTTCTCTGGAGGGGGGGAAGGCTTCTCAGAAGCTCCCCTGCTTGTTCGAAGGCGCGGGCCGTGTCTGCAGAAGCACGGCCGGCGCCTGCTGAGAGGCAGCCTCCCTCCGAGAAGCACTCCCCCCTCCCCCTTATGCCCCCTCGTGCGCGCCGCCCCGGGGGGGTGAGGGAGGACTGACAGCGACGGTTGGCCTCGGTCCTCGAGGGGACAGCCTCCCTCTGAGAAGCACTCCCCCCTCCCCCTGCGCCCCCTCGTGCGCGCCGCAAAAAGGGGGGGTGAGGGAGGACTCGCAGCGACGGCTGGCCTCGATTTCTGCGGTCCTCGAGGAGGAGCGCCCGCCCTCCCGCTCCGCCCCGCGTGCCCGTGTGCGTGCACGCTCCGAGCGGGTGCGCCTCTCTTCTTCGCGCGCCTCGGTGCAGCCCCTGCCGCTGCTGGCGAGCAGGGCTCCCCGCTCGCTTCTCAGCCGCCGTGCTGGGTGACGCTGGCTTGCGCGTGATCTATGCAGGTTTTCGTGGCAGCGGTGCCGCTTCGCCGGCGGAGGGGAAGTGCGTGTGCGCGCCAGATTCGCTTGCGCAGCACTCCACGACGCGTCGTTGCGCACAGCCTGCTCGGCGGCGAGGGGACGCGCGCTCCGCGGGGCGGCAGGAGGGCGGAGCAGGAGGGGCTGGGAGGGCGGAGGAGATGCTGGAGGAGGTGGACGGGAGGAGGTGTAGGGGGGCAGGATGGGGAGGATGAGGACGCAGGACGGAGGAGAGGGAGGTGGAGGAGGAGGAGGAGGAGGAGGAGGAGGAGGACAGAGGCCGAAGCAGAGAGGAGAGGGACAAGGAGGAGGAGGAGGAGGAGGAGGATTTCCAGGATTTGCGCCATTACGTAGTGACATCGAGCATGCGACGCCCCCCCTGACCTTGAGGACGCACAGGACGACAAGGCAAACGAAGCGCTCGAACAAGAGGAACAACTTCACGAATGACGCATGCCACCAATCTGGAATCCCCCGCACCGACTGACGGCCATGCCAAGATTGCCGCCGATCGATAGGACATTGACATAGCGCAACCCAACACTTCGGAACTGACACATAAGCAAGGCCTTCACCTCGTTGGTCGAAATAGGCTAACCTCGTGCCCTTCTGTTTTATCCGCACGGGAAGTTGACCACCTGCACGTATTGGTGAAGTTAGAGAAGCACCCGCAAAAAGTAAGGAAAGCAAACCCATACTTGAGCTGCAGACAAGCGACCAAGCAATTGGCGCTGAGCACGCTTGAACAGAAGCATCCAGACAACACCTCCCGCAACTTACAGAGTAAATACCCCCCCTGTGAGAATGCGGCATTGTAAACGATTACCTGCAAGGGCCCAACAAATTTTGGATTGGAAAGCTGGCCAATGGCAACCGTTAGAAGTGCTGTGGGATATGCTACCAAACCACCAAGCACCACAGTGAGAGCAACAAGTAACATGCCCATGTAGCTGTGGAAGACAACTACCCTGAAGTGGTTGACGCCTGCACGCGCAACACAATCAGAACAGGAAGATGACCCCTGCAGCATGTTGCTTGACTTGTGAAGTGGCCCGTCAGCGCTTCCTATAGTATGTAATGGATGACCAGCCCCCGTGTGGCCCAACAGCTTGAAACAACACGATACCACTCACTGCAGGACTGTTCGAACACTTCGCCTCGGGCTTCGCCAACGCTTCGCATAATAGGAAGACTATTCGCTCCGCTTGCCACAGGCACGGCTCGATGAGCCGCCGAGGCGCGATGTCGAGGCTGGTTGGAGCCAACAAGTGTAACTGTGGACCCGCCTCGAGCCGCTGGTGCTCGAGCCAAAACGGCTACGGAAGGGGAGGAGTCAGACGGGATTAGGACGATGACAAATCCGTTCCAGAGCGTTCCGGAACGCTCTCAGAGCGTGCCAGATCGCGAGGCATTTTCCAGAGACAATTGTTGGATCTCAGAGATTCTCAATCTATCCTTATCCGATTTGATCTTCGTCCTGGCTTCGTCTTAGCCTCGCAGGGTGGAGGAGGGGACGGAGGGGGAGGAGGGGGATGGGGAGTAGGGGGAGGAAGAAGGGGAGGAGGGCAAGCTAGGTGCGCTCGCGTCATATCTGACATCCGACCCCTCCCTCCCATCCCTTACCATGGCGTAGATCCCTTCTCTACTCGCACAGTCGGATGTCGAGCAGGGCAATGATCCCGAAAGGGTACGCGATGCATTGTAGAGCACGGCATGGCATGGCGTAGAAGAGCACCGCAAAGCGTAGTATGTCACAGCATGGCGTGGCGTGGCGTAGCGAAGAATTGCATCACAAAGCTTTGCAACGCAAAGCATGGCATCGCACAGCGGCCCCGAACATAACATTGCATAGCATGGCGTTGCAGATCAAAGCGTAGCATGGCATAGCACGACGTGGCACTTAAGCACTGCATATCACAGCTTCAGCTGAAGGCATGGCATCGCGCAGCGGAACGCAACCTAGCATTGCATTGCATGCCGTGGCATGGCACGGGAAATGACGCCAGCGCTGCAGCGGGAGCACGATTCGGAACGAGCGGAAGCGCGGAAATGAGGCCAGCTGCAGCGGGAGCACGATTCGGAACGAGCGGAAGCACGGAAATGAGGCCAGCGCTGCAGCGGGAGCACGATTCGGAACGAGCGGGGCCCGAAAATGAGGCCGGCGCCTCAGCGAGAGCAGCATTTTGGAAACAATGCATGCGAAAACCCAACTCCGGGGAATCCTGTGTGTAAAAAACAGTACGGGGGGGGGGGCGAACACTCCCAACCCGTCATCAGGGGAAGGAGGAGAGTAGTATTCATATTGAGTAATTGTGGAGAAGGGAGAGGGGGATGAGGAGGGGAGTTGAGGAGGGGGAGGAGGGAGAGGCGGGGGAGCAGGGGGAGGGTGGGGGAGGAGCGGGCGGTGGGGAACAGGACGCAGGACAGCGGTCGGTAGCCCCCCTTCTTGCGCCGCTCCCCGTGGCCCGCCCCGCTGCCCGCCGTGGCCACGCCCGACGCCGAGCGCACTGGCGGCGACGACGTCGGCGTCGTCGCCGCCGCCCTCGTCGGCGTCGTCGCCGGCCCCCCCACCCATCGTCGGCAGGCCGGCCCGCCCCGCTGCCCTCCGGGGCCACGCACGACGCCGACGACACCGGCGGCGACGACGTCGCCGTCCTCGCCGCCGTCTTCGTCGCCGTCGTCGTCGCCGGGCCCCCCACCCACCGTCGGCAGGCAACTTCGGCGACGGCGCCGACGAGCAACGCGAGAGTGCCCCGCTCTTCTCGCTGGCCAGCTGCGCCGACGCCGAGGCATCCCGCACCGTGCCCCCGCCGCCCGCCGCGCTGGGAGGCGCGGCCGGAGGGAGGTCCCCGAAGTGGGGCGTGCCCCCGCCCCCATGCGCACAGTCGGGCCGAGGTATAAGATCGAGGTCGGTTCTGGTATAGGCTACCCTCATGTTCTTCGTGGTTGTTGGATGTTCTCGTGCATGGGAGAGTATCCCGGGATGTTCGGTGTTTGTTTGGCTGGCGGAGGGTCTCATGTTCTGGAAGGACGTTTTTCTGGCCTAGGTCCGACTGTACGTATTCTCCCCCTCTGCCCCTCGTCGGTTATGGCCAGGACCCCATGCAAGGGGACCCGGTTAGTGGTAGGGCCCCAGAGACCTTGAATTGGCCAGAATCACTCAACCAGGTCTGCGGTAGCTGGTGTTTCTTCGGGTGGCGGCAGTTCCGGTTAGTGGAACGGGGCAGGGGGGGCGTCCCCCAGTGCACATCACTAAACCGGGTTCCACTAGACCCAGTTCTGCCAACGCCCGACCTCGGCATCTCCATGTTGCCGCACCAATGTCAACGTGTGGGCGATAAGTGGCGGCCAGCGGCTGCTGATGGACGTATTCACCCCATCTTCCCCGAAAGGCCCGCCGCGGGCACCATTCGGAAACATCTTCTTAGGTCTATGCGCCCATTCGCTTATGGCGGGTTCCATAGGTCCCCCCTGCACCTGCCGTTCTTCTCCCCTCCCCTTCGGGGTCGGAATAAAAACGGGGGCGGGATTCGGGGTCGGAGTCGGTGCTGGCGTCGAGGTGGGTGTGGGCGCTGGGGTGCGGGCAGGAGACGGAGCATGAGCCGTGGCATGGGTAGGAGTCAAGCTAGCCAGATCGAATGAGTCGGCAGGCCCCGCCCTCTTCGCACCTTCCCTCCCATACTTCAAACGAAGCCGTGGCATGAGTTGATATTGATGTGGAGCGCGATCCCGCCCAGCGAACAGAAGGTGCTCCCACACGGGCGGCCTGGCGAGGGACAAACAAATATGCGGGCCGCGTACAGGCCAGGAGCGGAACTTGTAGACCACAACCTGGCCGCGCGCGGCGCTGTTGCTCACCACTCACCACCCACCAAACCACCCCAACCCAACCCGAAGGCTTCAATTTGCCCTAAGTTGCCAGTGTATGTGTTGGGGGGGGGCGTCGGGGAGCATAGAAAAAAAACACATGCCGGGCCCGTGCCCCCCCAACCCGAAATTCGGGTCCTCGGGTTGGGTTGGGGTGGTCTGGTCAGTTGTCAGTTGCGAGAGCACAATTTGGCCATTCCTCGGGCGGCCAAATCTCAGGCCAGCCACAACTGGGGGAGCTGTGGTCCTTACCCCCAAGGGAACCCATCGATTTCGACACCCCTCTCGAGAGATCGTCGATGCGATGGGTTCCCCAAAGGGGGTAAGGACCTCAGCTCCCCCAGTTATGGCTGGCCGGAATCTGCGAGGAGCGTGGCGGAGACGAGGCGTGCGCGGCGCCGAAGCAGCCCCGCGGTCCTCCCACACACATGCTGCGCGGGCGGCTTGGAGAGGGCGCCACGTCGCCCGCTCTCTGGAGTGGTCCGCTGCCCGCTGCCGCCGGGGAGGAGGAGGAGGAGGAGGAGGAGGAGGAGGAGGACGGGGAGGAAAAGGAGGAGGAGGAGGAGGAGGGGGAGGAGGAGGAAGAGGAGGAGGAGGAGGAGGAGGTAGGAGGGGGAGGAGGAGGAGGGAGGAGGAGGAGGAGGAGGAGGAGAGGATGAGGAGATGAGGAGGAGGAGGACTAGGAGGAGGAGGAGGAGGAGGAGGAAGAGTGGGGGGAAGAGGTAGGAGGGGAGGCGGAGGTGGAGGCGGAGGAAGGAGGTGGTGAGGAGGAGGAAGCGGGGAGGGGGGAAGAGGAGCAGGAGGAGGATGAGGAGGACGAGTTGGAGCAGGAGGGGAGGAGGAACAGGAGGAGGAAGGAGGAGGAGGAGGAGAGGAGGAGGCGGAGGAGGAGGGAGGAGGAGGAGGAGGAGGAGGAGGAGGAGGAGGAGATGGAGCTGCGCCGAGGCGACAGCCACAGTTCGTCCGCTCGCGCGTCGACAAATTGGCTGGCGACAGGTGCGCCGCGCGAGTCGGGAGTTCGAGCTTCAGGACGAGGTAGCGCTGATGGGCCTGTTTTCCACCACCACCATCAGAAGGTGGAGGGACAGGAGGAGCGGAGGATGATGATGATGATGAAGAGGGTGAGGAGGAGGAGGAGGAGGAAAGAGGCGGAGGAGAGGAGGAGGAGGAGGAGGAGGAGGAGGACGACGAAGGCGGCACGCGGCGATTCGATGGCGAGCGGGCGTTCCAGGATGATTCCCCGCGGTCCAGCTTGAGGAAAGCAACATGTTGGAGATTTGCCCATTTTGAAATCGTTGCGGCTCCTTGGGGGGGCTCTGCTTGGAAAGAGGAGGAGAAGGAGGAGGAGGTGGAGGAGGAGGGGGAGTTCCCCCTCCTCCTCCAACTAATGGTTGTGGTGGTGGAGAACAGGCCCATCAAGCGCGGCGCCGCGGCGAGAACGACATTTTGTCCTGTCGCGCGGGATGCTCGCCCCGCCCAGTCATTGCCACGCAAGCTGCAACGTCGACAAGAATACGTGCATGCGGAATGAATGAGACGCGCCGGCTTTGCCTTGACGTTTGATGGCTTGGTTGAAGCGTCCCTGGAGGGTTGTTGTTTGCCGACCAGAGGATCGGAGCAGGAGTTGTAGTATCAAGAGGAGGGGGAGAGAGTTGTGAATTATGGATGGAGAGGATGGCGTAGAGGAGAGAGGAAATACGACGACTCCCTTATCATCCTTATCCTGTTCGCCCCGCCTCCGCGGCTGTCTAGCAACCAAACCAAATCCAATCTCTGGCGGCGCGCCGAGGGGGAGAGGGAGAGGGGCCAAGCCTTCTGAGAAAGCGGCGTGGTCTCTCAGAAGCCTTCTGAGCCTTATGAGAAGGTCCGCCCCCTCTGCCTTGTCCCTGGGCGCCGCCCCCTCCTCGGCAGGCTTTTGAGTACGAGCCGGTCCGGCGCCCCCTGCCCGCGACTACCGCTGGCCTCCTCCCTCCGCAGAGGGTATCACCGCGATGCCTGCCCAGGGCTACCCTGTGCCTCAGGATGACGCATGGGCCCTCGGCCAGGAGGTTCGTACGGTCTGGAAATTTGCTGAGTGTGTCGCTCCGACAGTTCTGGCCGACAACGCTTCGGCGCGACACGCTAACCACATCCCAGTCACCAAGAATCGACGCTCGGAGTTTTTCCCATCCCCTCTCCCCGCGGAGCGGAGCGACACTTCATCAGCTCGCAGGGCTCGACGTGTCGTCGGGGTCGCTGCCGAGTCACGTTGAGCAAAAGCTCCCGAACGTAGGTGCCATACCGGGGCCCACCTTGAACAGAGGTCAAAGGCGAGATACGAGCGACGCGCATGCGTCCCGACGCCGCTTGGGCCCAGGCGATGTTGCTCTATATCACTGCCCCATACGTGGGGCGCTATAGAGTTCGAGCCACTGATAAAGGAGACGTCCACTTCCTTCGACGATGCCCCCTCTGCTCCCATGCCTTGTCTCCTCGCCTGCCCGCTCATACCTCCTGCCTGGATAGGTCTTGGGGTACTCTGGTGCGCTTCAGGCGAAGTATCTGGTATCGGCGTCACCCCAACATTCTTATACTATATGTGCCCCCCCCGGGGCGATGCGCGCACCGAGAAGTCTTATAGTATATGCGTCGTGGCGGGCGCTTTGCCGCCACACTGCTCGGGAAACGATATACTACAAGATGGGTGTACTATATGTTTGGGTCGGCCTCGCGCCTCCAAGGAGAACATATAGTACTAGTATGTCCTTGTGCGCCCCATGGTACGGCGCACCGTCTCACTATCGACCGGCCCAGGGTGGCCCTGGGCTCGCGCCTTCACAGGGCGCCCTGCTGAGTACCCCTGGCTGCCTCGTCGGCCCTCGGGGTAGGCGCGCCTCGCCCGCGCAAAATGCTGCTGGGCGCCCGGCGCACGACGCCACGCTGCAGCGCGGGTGGCCAGGCGGCGCGGGTTGCCGCGCGCCGCCGGCGCCCGGTCGCGGCGGCGCGCCTGGTCGCAGCGGCGCGCCGCGCGTCAGCCAGGGGCAGCGTTAGGGGGGGGACGGGAGGCCCTTCCCAGAGATGATCGCGTGACGAACAAGGTCAAGACGGAAGGCTTGTTGTTGTCGGTCTCGGCCTCGGGGGTCCTTCGCCGGCCCCGTGGCCGTCAAGAAACGACTCGGGATGAGACGCCCGCCTGGGGGAAAGAGTCGGGACTGCTCGGGGCCCGCAACAAAAAAATCCTGGCGAAGGACCCGAACGGATGCAGATGCGAGTGCCACAAAGCAGGTGGGGCGAAAGAGGGGCAGCTCTATCTATGGGGCCACGAAGCGTATGACGGTTGTGCCGAGTCGGGTCCAGGTACGCCATGCGGCTACGAAACGTGTGATGGGGTTTGCCGCCGACATGGGTGCGGTGGCGCCACGCGGACCCTGCCAGTTGGGCCTTCGGTAAGGCTCCCTGTGTGGCCTCGAAACGTGTGAGGGCTGTGCCGAAATGGGTGCGGTGGCGCCATGCAGACCCTGCCACTGGGGCCTTCGGTGGAGCTCCCTGTGGGGCCACGAACCGTGCGAGGGGTGTGCCGCAATGGGTGCGATGGCGTTGCGCGGACCCTGCCACTGGGGCCTCTCGGTGGAGCCCCTTATGGAACCATGAAGCCTGTGAGGTGTGTGTGTGTGTGTGTGAGGTGTGTGTGTGTGTGTGCGCCGAAAGGGACATGGGAGGGCTGAGGCAGGAGAGTGATGCCGATGGTGATGGTGAGAATGATGACAATGATCACTGTGATGACGATGCGGACGTGCGGAGGGCAGAGGCAGGGATGGGAGGAGGGCGGAGGAGGAACGAGTGAGGAACGCGGGGCGCTGCCCTTTTCTAAAACGGGGGCCCAACACCACAGGCTCGTCGGAGAAAAGACTACATCGGACCTCTGGGTAGGTACAGCAGCTTA